AAACAAGTTGCCACCAAGGAGACAGCTTGGTTAACTTTCACTGTTGAATGTTAAATCATCACAATTAAATTGGTTTTTTTTCTTCTAATGCCTGACTAAATTTGGTTGAGCCTTAGTGCAATTTAGGTTATCTTAGATAGATTGTCTAAAATATTTCCAAAAAATGTTCAAAAGATCTTTAGAATGTATGTCATCTCACAGCATTGTTTTGATATCAGCCATTAATTTCTGAGAAGACTAAAAGTTTACAGAACGCAACTTTGAAAGCATTGCAGAAAGGTATTTGCACATTATTTAGATGAATTCCCTCACATTACAAAAGATAACGTGAAGCTGAAATAATATTTATTAGGTCAGGGTTGGTTCGTGAAGTTCATATTTTATTCTTCTTTCTACCGTACATGGACACTGAATGTATTCTTTTTGTGAAAGTATTTCATAATCGGTAAGGAAGGAGGAAAAGAATACACAAGAGAGAAAGACAAAACAAGAAACAGAGATAGGAAGTTCAAGTTCACCCTCAGAGAGCCAAAGCAGTAGGAACTAATGCTGGGATCTACCAACAAGAGCCCCTAGCTCCCTGTTCAGCATTTTCCATCACAGAGTACTGCCTCCTGACCCGGAACCAGGTCAAGGTAAGCTAAAATGTTCTCTTCCATTCACCATCTAAGAGCCCCGAGTTCTACTAAATCAAATTACCAGTCTAGTTTGGAAATTTGTTTAGAGACATTGTTAACAATACTCAGAGGAAAAAAAATCAAACAAAATCAGAAAGCAATCTACTCTTATTCAAAAAGAAAAAAAATTCCTAGTTATAAAAGGGAGTAAACAGTTCAGAAAATCTTTACCCAAGAAACAAGACATCCAGTATGTGGAATACAATGTTAGCATGACAAATAAGAGAAGTGAACCTAGGTCACATCCCTGAGGGTAAGCATCAAAGCCAAAGATCTGCCACATATATTTTCATTTATTTGACTCAGCCAATGGCTGCTGAGCTCCAACAATGTGGTCATGGCACTTTGTGGCTGATAAGAAAGTGACTTCATCAGATGCTACCAAGAACTCTGACCTGTACAATCAGGCTCCTTGGACCGTCAGAGCCTCGCTAGGCAATTGCTGGGGAGCCTTAAGCAAGTTATTTCGGCCTCTCCATACTTTCAGTTTTTTCACATGTAAAACAAGGGCGTTAACTAGAAAATCTATAAGAAAAAGCTACCAAAAAATCTTTTGCTTCTAGCACTATGACAAGAGCTCTGTTCTTCCATACCCTAAGAGGTCTATGAATCATTATGAAATAAAATATCCAGTTAAAAACACCTATTTCACCATGACTTGGCAACACCTATGGTACCTAGAGACTAACAAAAACTAAGTAAGTGCCTTTCAAACTTAGTTCGGCACCAGATTCTCCTAGGATTTCTTTAAAGTTCGATTTCTATGACCCAGCCCAGATCTATTAAATAAAAATATCTTGAGGAGGGGGTCTTTTGAGGATTAGTGCTTCTCTAAAAGACCCCTAAATGATCATTTCAGACATTGTCACCACACTGGGAAATTCAATGACCCAGGATACTTAGGATCTGGGAATATGAAAAAGGCTGACGGGTCTGGGTGTCTTAATGAATAATTAAAGTTTCTTTTAAATAGATCTTGAATGTGACCAATACATTTTTTATACACACCTCCAATCCAAAATGTGAATATGAAGGATGAAAAACTAAATGAGAAAGTCTGCTCAAGTCAATAAATAAATCATGCCTTGGGAAAAGTACAACTTCTCAGTTAATGACATGAAAACATGAAAAGAAAATGAAGAATGTTCTCAAGATTGTGGGCCTACAGATCCCACCCATCATTACTCATGTGTCAGAAGGTTGCCATCCTAAATGGTGTTTGAAAGTGACAACAACCTGGTTGACAAGAACATCTTGTGTATGTCAAAAGAGCTGGAAGAGAGGTTTTTAAATGTTTTACCACAAAGGAATGATAAATGTTTGAGATAAAGGATATGCTAATTACTGTGATTTGAGCATTTCATAAACTATACATATAGCAAAACATCACATTGTATCCCACACATTTGTGCAATTATTATGTCAATTAAAAATAATAAAAATCAAACATCATGAACATGATCCTCCCACTTATTATTCAGATGCTCTACTTCTCTAATTTGGCTTTTTTTCTGAATCAAAACAACTCAGCCCAAGCAAAACTTTCACACTGAAAACGTCTGAGACAAGAGAAGGAAGCAACAAGCAAGAGAAAGAAAACAAGAATGAAAGTGAAATTTTCAAAAAGGTAAATTTTAGTTGCAGTTACCTAAGAAAGGGTTTGGTTTTATGGGCCTCAAATTTGAAAAAAAGAGATCACAGGGACAAACTATCGTTTCCATAGAAAATGCTTTGAATTGATCTTGCTTTCGAGATTGAACCTGAATGACACCTCAAGGTTAACTTCCTTCTGTGGGTGTAAGCTTTGGGTTACAGCCAAAGGCCTGGAAGCACTAGAAGTAGAAAACCACGTGACTCTCTCCCATATTTCAGGTATACCTCTGTAAGTCCAGTGAGACAGATTCACCAGGTTAGAAATGGTTCAGGGGCCTGGACACTGTACAACTTTTCTTTCAGATAAATGGAACAGATTCAGTGAATTGCTTTTAGAGAGGAATTAATCTAGCAAGGAACACAAACACATACATACCCTGCAAAAGTGTGTCACAAGGAAGCAAGATACATTCCCATCCCTAGTGGCCATATCTCTAAAGAGCCACAATGATTGATAAGTTTGTTTCTCAATTTAAAAAACAAAAAACTAGTAACACCCTAAGAGCAGAACTCAAGTTCTCATGAAACTATAAGAATATCTTTCCTTTCAACATAATACCAAACACTCTAGCAGAAAGGAGTTTGGATCATATGACCTTTATATTTCCTATTAATCTTTAATAATACACAGATTTGCAATTCCCTAAATAATATAAAATATTTGTATTGTTTGCTTGTGTCTTAAAAAGGCAACTTACTATATATAAATTTACTTCAGTCAACTATTAACAATATCGATACTTATACATTCTATAATTTATCTTCTCTCCAAGGATCACTGTCTCTATAAGACTCACAGATAAAAAGAAATATTCATTACATACCACATTATGTCCAAGTAGCATTAAGGTAACCCATTCCCACATCTATAGAGTGAATAACCTCCCAATAACCTTCATCCCCCTTTTTTCCTTTTATAGGATCAAAAAAGTTAAATAAATTACTTAAGGTCACAATGCTAGAAAGTGATAACGTTGGAATTTTAACCCAGGCCTAACTCCAAAGCCCATGCTGCTACTAGCCTAGCACAGGGCCTCCTAGTTTAGGGAGGAGAAGGAAACAATAAATAAATGTCTTCCTATTATTCTGTATGTTTCACTAATTTCTCAGCTCCGTTAATCTATAATAAGTTTTTCCTTACTATACTTTAATAAGCATACTTCTTAGAGATGGATTCTCTCAGCATTCAAATTAAGCAAAAAAAAAAAGCAAAGCAAAAAAGTACAGAATTTTATACCCAGAGCAAGGATAACATGAGAGTTCAATTTTCACAAAGAAAAGAGAAAAATTACCTGTGTTGATCATCCAGGTATATCAAGTTCAACATCGTCCATATGATTAACGTAAATTCAACAGAGTTGCCAAAGGAACCAAACCCAGCTGGCGACTAGGATGTTTAATGAAGTGAATCAACATTAACCCATTTCCCTTATTAATATGTAATATATTTTCGCACACATGTAGAAGGAATGATTTCCTTAAGTATATTGTTTGCAAAAAATAACTTCATGTGCCTTATTTCCTACTTTTAAAACATCTTCTTCTGAATTCCCTATTTAAATTCACAGCATCAATGTCTATCACCCAAGGTCAAAAACATAGTCATTTTGACTGTCTACTTGCCGCCTAATTCCACATTCATTCAGTTTCAAGTTATTTTTAATTCAGACTCTTCACTCCCTCTGATCAGTCCCTCTCGATTCTGAAGGGAATTGCCCCGCTAGATTAGTGTCTTCCTTGCCCTTTTCACAGACACAGAAACATCCTTCCCAGAGCCTGCACCCTGTCTTGACAACAATCCATTTGGCACACAGAGGGCAGGACTTTCAATCCCAGAGACATATGGATTTTACAACTCTCAGCACACAAGTGTTTTATGATTAAACTGCTCATAACTCTACAATCTGGCTTTGTCCAGCCTCTCTCTGCAAAACTTTACCTGTTTACTCCTTGTTTTTATCCCTATGCCCAAACTAATCATTTCTGCTGGCTGTTTACTTCCCATAACTCTGTGCCTTTGCTGAACAGAGAAAATCCCCTGCAATGTGCTTCCCCCGCCCCTCTGCTTTCCCCATTCAGCAACCCTATACATCTTTTAATCCCAAGTCCAAAGACCACTTCGCCATAAGCCCATCCTGACCTGGGAAGCTGGGAGAATTCTCCTCTTATTCTGAGATAATGTAACACTCTAATCAGAAGACCTCTGTTTTGGAAAATTAATGCTTAGACTCTATTATGGTTATGTGTGTACGTCTTTTGTCTCCTGCCAACTAGAAGCATTTAATGCAGGCATACAGTCCATATCTTGTACATACTATGAGAACAAAGAACTTTCAGTGGATGTATCATACATTACACTGTAAAGGCCTTTATGCTGAAGGAGAATACATCTCCACTGGCATTGTTTAGACAACCTTCAGGCTTAAACAAAACTAAATAGAATAATATTTTTTCAAGTATTGAATACCGAGTTTTTAAGTATGATCAAACCTAATTTCCTTGAATTTGAGAATTAGATCATCAGAGGATATGAGAAGAAAATACTTATTTATCATTTAATGCAGTTTGGGAAGAAGAACATTTATCTTGCTGTCAATCACCCGTCAACCCTTACAGAGAACAGACACACAGAGCTGGCCTGCAGAGTGTTGAAGAGGCCGTCCGTCTTACTTTGCAGTAGACTATCATGTTGGGAGAACTCTCCTCTGGATCAGCAATCCCCACTGCTCTTTGATCCCCGGATCCCTGAGCCATCCTGAGTGTCTTCTCTCACACTGTGAAAATAAATGGATACACCATTAAGCCATGAAATAATTTTTTTAACATAAATTTTTTGAAATGCAAAAGAACTAAGTATCTTTTGGCAGTTGCCATGAAAACAAAACATAATTTTTATTTTTCTGATTAATTTACAAGATATTTCTTTAAAAGTTAGGGTATGTTCTAATCCCAAATATTCTTCATTTTCAGCCCAGAGTCCTATACCTAGGGGCAGATATATGCCATCTTAAGCTCATGAAGACAATCATTTTGATGTTGATTTCTGTCTTACCAAAGCCAAATTTCTGATTAATTCCATGCATTAAAATGTGAATCTTTAATTATGGAAATGCAAATCAAGATCCCAAGGAGATACTACTCCATTTCCACTAACATGGTTATAATAATAAAAAAACAAAAATTCAAAAACATAAGTCTTGTCAAGGAATGGGGGAAATGAGAATCCTCATTTGTTGCTGGTAGGAATGGAAAGTGGTACAGTCACAGTGAAAAATGGTTTAATGGTTCCTCAAAAAGTTAAACAGAGAATTAAAATGTGATCTAGAAACTCCACTTCTAAGTATATAGTCCCAAAACCTGAAAACAAATATTCAAATACTTGCTCTTGAAGGTTCATAGCAGCACTGTTCATAAGAGCCAAAGAGTGGAAGCAACCCAGATATCAATCAGTGGACAAACGGATACACAAAACATGTATGTATATCTGATGGAAGATTATCCCACCATAAAAAGGCATGATGTTCTGATACACTTCACAATGTGGGCGGATTTTGAAAACATGCTAAGTGAAAGAAGGCAGACAGAAAAGGTGAGATATTGTAAGAGTCCATTTATGTGGATTATCCAGAATAGGCAAACCCAAAGAGACAGAAGACTGATGGTTGTCAGCAGCTGGGGAGAGGGCAAGAGGGAAGGGGGTCACTGCTCAAAGAATATGGAGTCTCCTCTGGATGATGAACTAGAAAGAGGTGATGGGTCATAGCATTCTCTGAATATACTAAACACCAGTGAATTATATATTTGAAGATGAAGCAAGTTCAATTCTTGGTGTGACATTATACCTGCTGCATGACCTTAGGCAAGTTAAATAACCCATGGGTACTCTTTGTTAATTTCCTACCCTGAATGTATCAGATACCTGCTGTATGCTCAGAACCATGACAACACCATCCTTTTACATTGACTCTCATCAGTGAAATGTGAATTCCACAGTGACCTTGTAGGTAAGGGTCAAAAAAAAAAAAAAAAAAACAACTGAGGGATGAAGGACAGCTTAAAGCCATAAGAGTCCTTTACAAATGTTATCACTAATCCAAGAGCCTGCCTGAATTATTTGCACAAAATTCATAGGCTTTTCATCAAAGAAACTTTTATAAATACCATACCTAACCAAAAAAAAAAAAAAAAAGGCTATCCACTCAAAGTAAAAAACTCAGGAAATATTCTATTATGAAATAAATTGGTACCAAAGGTCATTCTATAAAAATAAATTTGGATGGAAGTTGGAGAGACAGGAATTTGTAATTTACACAAAGAATTTAATTGCCCAACATATCCCATTTGAATGATGCTGCCGGCTTTCTTCATTATTTGTGAATTAGAATGTATTTTAAAATTAGATTACATGAAAAAATAAAGAGCATCATTGTATTACCTCCACTCTCTGTTATATCAGTATTTCCATGAATAGAGTACTACATGGAAACACTGATTATTATTCTAATCAGTGGCTTTTAAAGTTAAATGAACAACACACTGTTTCATTTTTAAACAACTACTTAGTTGCCTCCTCCTTTGCCCTAATACAGAATATAACAGAGCATGAAAAACAAAAACCGAATCCATTTATGTATGCTCATTTATCTATGTAACAGAGCCCTTTCGGGTCTCCATTGCTTTATTTTAAAATGAACACTTTCTCTTTAATAAGCCTATTCTTTTCCACCTAGAAAACTGTGCAATAATAGCAAGGTTGGAAATGACCTAGAAACAAATATCTCAGCCCTCCTTCGCCTTTCCCCAGCCAACCCCTCCCACCAACAGAAGCATTTCTGTTGTTCAAACAGACTGATGTTCCAGGACCTGGTCTGTAAACTGCTCAGTGAATGCAGAGAGTCTATGTTAGGAAATTTAGTGAATCTAGTATTCACTAGAAAAGATTCTATTTTTGGTTTCTCTATCAACTTGTTTTGAAACTCAGACAAGCTGCTTAATTCTTCTGTGTCTAGAAAGAATCTTTTCTAAAATAGGAATATAGCTACCTTCTAGTCCATATGTCAACAAATGGAGAGAAGTGGACGTGAAACCTATGTAGGTAAGAATTTTAGAATTCCATTCACTGGCTGTAACGCTGAGGCTCCTAAAATTAGAGAATCAGGTTTTCATTCATTACAATATGCTGTAAAATATTTCTTTTAAATAAAGTGCAGCAGAAATAAGTAGGAATGTTTTAAATTTAATGTAGTAAAAAAAAAAAGAAAGAACCTTCTCCATTTTCTGTATGTATATTACACTTGTATACTCACAGTTGATAATCCAGGGACTTTCATTACACTATTCAAAGAATGTAATAATTTTTCTGGAAACACATAATAATAGAAAAAATAGAAAGAACACATGTTAATCATATTAATTTCCTATAATGACTCACAGCTAACAAAAGAGGAAAATTGAAAATGTGCTCAGACCATGCGTGGTACAAACTTCAAGAAGATACACCTTAGTGGTTACAAGTTGGCCTCTGTCATTGGATCTGACCCCTGGCCTCCTTGCTCACTAGCTGTGTGATCTGGACTACATTACTTCACCTCTTTGTGCCTTTTTTCCCTTTATCTGTCACAAACCACAGTCCCAGCATAATTTTTAATATTTAATATATCTCCACCTCCAGGTCTGGTCTGCAACTAACTAGCTGTCAAAACCAGGTCAAGCTGCAGCTTCCCCAGACCTCAGATGGACATAAGCTATGCAAACCAGCATCCTTAGAGCTCCCACCTCAGAACTTCAAAATTTCTGACTTACTTAGCAACGACATGCCAGAATGTTCCATGCCATCTCCCTTCTGTCTGCCTACATCCTAGCCCATCTCCTCTACTTGTGACAGCCCTTGTGCCGAACTCAAAGAATCACCCAAATACTGGGATAGAGATTCTCGGTCCCACTCAGCCTCCCTCCTCATAAAGCATTTCCTGCCATACCACTGCTCATCTCTAGGTTCCAGGGACTGTACATGTAATCTTTGGGCAAATTATTGAGCTCTCCTTTCTCAAGGCTCCCTGCTGGGTCCTGGGGAAACACAGGCAAAGACTCACAGAGGTGTTCCTTAAGATGTTCAGAGCCCAGCAAGGGTGACAGGTGCAATGGATACTGCAATGAGCATGTGCTCAATTCTGATGGCTCAGAGCAGGAGGAGGTGACAACTGAGATGGGAGTGGAAGGATGACCATGAGCACCTGAGGTTGGCAGGGTTTGCCATTCCATCTATACGACAGTAACCAGGCTTAGACATCGGAAGCCCCAGAAGTAGCTCAGCACTGTGCTAGGCACTGGAGAAAAAAAAAAATGAAGATGACCCGATCTCAATGAGATTAAGTGAGAGACAGCCCCGAGCGCAGAGAGTGAGAGAACAGGGATTCACACCCATCTGCATTCAGGGCACTTGGTGTCCTTGTGTATCAGGGATTTCCTCTACTAGAAAGTCAGACCTGCATGGGCAGGTGCTCTATCAGTGGGGTTCATCCCTCTCTCTGGACACCTAGAAAGTGATCTAGCACAGAGCAGGCACCCAAATATTCTGAATGAATGAACATTCATCTGGATAATATGTCAGGAAAACTGCCCACAGACCCAAGACCCACGCGTACAATCACACGTGAGGATTTTCCCCAGGGCTTATGGACATGAGCCAGCTCCAGACTCAGGAATCCACTTCTGGAATTCACAAGCAATTTGGATAAAAGGGACTATGTGGGAAGGGTGGTGAGTATAGCAAAGGGGGCGACCACTTAAGCATCTAGGACACAACTGATGAGCAAATATTTTGAAAGTCAGGACGGTGCCTGCGATTTATGCATTTGTAACTTACAGTTACAACAAATGCTTGCTATTTTCTTTTTTTTTAATATTTATTTTTTAGTTGTAGGTAGACACAGTATCTTTATTTTACTCTTATGTGGTGCTGAGGTTTGAACCCAGTGCCTCACACATGCCAGGCAAGCGCTCTACCTCTGAGCCACAACCCCAGCCCCCTCTTTTCTCGATAATAGCAGCCACTCTAGAGCAAAGTCCAAGGTCCAGCAGAAAACAGTGCTGAATAGAGTGGGAAGGAAGGACCTCAATGACGTAGAAAGACAAAGGGACTTGCTTGGAAGCCGTCTTGGCCCTGGTCTCACTGAGCCACCTAGAAGACCTTAGTGAGTGATTTCCCCAGCCCACACTTCCAGCTCTTCACCTAGAAGATGAGAACTCTCTACTAGCCAAGGTTGTTTCTGAAGAGGGAATAGGGTAATGCACATGATGACTGTGGCAACTGACTGTTGGTTTTGGCCAGTGTTGGGGTGAATGAATTTCCCTGGCCACCTGTGTCAGAATCCTGGAGAAGTCCACCCCCACCCTCAGACAGTCCAACCCTGGGCATCTGAGGCTGAGCCTTCAGCAATACCACAACCTCCTCAGGGGATCCTGATGAAGCACTAAGAGGAGGACAACTCCAATTACATGACAATGTCACAAAAATCATTGTGGCATACCGCTAAAAGCCTTAAACATCAGGTCTGCCACTTTTTGTGCCCAGTCCTCAAAACCTTATTCAGAGAAATGTCATGTAGGAGACATCACCAAACCCTGTCATATAGTCTGAATATTGATGGTGCAAAATAAAAATTCCTGTGGATTTTATTTCCTGTCCTCCATATTCTTTCAAGTTCACAGCCTATTTAAAAACCAATGGATTTTTTTTTTATCAGCAATGTTAAGCACTCAAGAAAAAAAAATT